CAAAAAGTGAAGTGCGGACGCGTGTTCTCACCGTTGGCGCGGGGGCGGCTCGCCGTCTGGCAGGTCGGGTAGCGGCCGCAGGGACGGTCGCCCACGCACGGGTCCGTGCGCAACACGCACTCCTCGCTGGGCAGACACACCACGTCCCTGCAGTTGCGCCCGTACTCTGCAACACGCGCCGCCGCCACCGCCGCCGCTCAACCAACTGCGAAATGCGCGTGGGGGCAATGAGTCTATTCCTAATCAATCGATTGTAAGGGAGAGAGAGGAAGAGAAAGACAGAGAGAGAGAGAGAGAGAGAGAGAGAGAGAGAGTGGGGGAAAGAGAAAGAGAAATGAAAGAGGGACTTGCCAACTTAATTTACCTCCGCTTATGAATGCTTTACAAATCGATTTATATTTCTTAGTTTTTATCTATATATTTTGAACCAAGATACATTTGTTACATATGACACTGTCACTGAGCAATTCCAGTTGTAAACATTCCCACTGGCACTTGTAATATCGTTTTCTGAACATGTAATTAGGTTGGTCTCTGCCATGAGACATAGCAACTTGCTCTTTCCTTCGAGATTTATCGTCTATTTGAAAGTCAATTAGTTCATCAATGTTCATTAGTTTGTAGTCAATGCGATCATTTCATTATTTATTGCTAACATTATCTATTTTCTTCTTGGTCATCTTAGGTTTCATGTCTTTGTTTTAGATTAGAACACTTAGGTTTTTTGAATTTATTGCAAAAATATGGATTTTTGATTGAAAAGAATAGATATTCAAACAGATCCCCAATAAAACGAATGGATTTTTGATAGTATGGATTAAATTTAATTGATAAAAATGACGATTGGGTACGCAATTAACTTAAAATAGCTAGTAATTCTTTTGAAACCAGACTATACGAATGAAGGAAACTAATAATAAGTATTTATGGTAGATTGATTTGAATGTTATTAGAAACCACGATCAAAGCTAGGCGGCGGTTCTAGGGTAATGCTCCGGGGAAGATTAAAAAGAGGTTTCCAGCAAAAGAGATAGAAAGGGGATAGAAAGGGGTAGATAGAAAGTGTTAATGGGGCGGGGTTAACTCATTAATGTAGGGAGTAATAGATAAATCAGAGGTGGATATAAAGGAAGCGACTGACCAGTTCGGAAGATTCGGATTAGTATGGATGATGGATATAACTGAACAATACAATGTAAAAGCCCTACGATATCTGTTCTTCTCTGCTTCAGTTCGTAGATGAGAAAGTTATTATAGTAGTGTAGTAGAACAATTATGGTCAGTTATTTAAGAAATAGTTGTTTTTAACGACTATTTTATACTTCAAGAGTAATATTGACCCCAAGTGCATGGTTTGAAGATGTTTGACGATGACATTTTAATGAATATTTGAAAAATGTTAATACATTCTTAAATAGTTTCGTATGTATTACACAAGATTTACATTACAAGCAAAATGTAGACATGAAGAAAATACTGTGTCAGTCCATTACTGAACGTATGTGTATCGAAAAATACAGGAAATTCATGAAATCTCATTGCCCTAAGAATCAACAAGAAAATCCTGTAAATTATTTTAATATCACCTCGTACAGGCTTTTATGTGTTCTAGGATACCAGCTTTTAGCATGCTCGACACAATTCAAATCGAAAACATATATTGCCAAAACGAATAATTTTGATTACATGCATTTTATTAATGAGGCGAAAGGAAAATATCGATAATTTTTTGACGATGTGTGTTTGGAATAGAAAGAAATTAAAATGAAAACGTGAGATCCAAGGGAAGTGAGTTCATACATACTTGTATTTTGTGCGTTTTACTCTTAATCTGTATAATTGTTTCATCCACCATTATAAATCATTCAACTTATCGAAGAATGTTCGTTGTGTTGAACAGTCGTCTTTGAACTCTTAACATTCCCTTCGATGGAGAAGGAGTTTTAGAATTTTTCTAAATGTTATTTCATTTATTTTCTGAGACGATAAAAAACAAACCATTACAAAACGTCGTTAACAACTTACTTGAATATGGTACGGCGTAGGCGATCGCAGCTACAAAGAGCAGAAGTAGTATTCTTGGCCCCATCATTTCTAAAAATGAATAATGTTTACACAAAATAGTATTTTATGAAATAAAAATATTCTAAATATATTATAATGGTACTAACTCATTTTAAAATCAAGACAATAAATGTCCATCTCAGCTATGCAAGCGTTGTATTCATATTTCATCTACTTACAATAATACACATGTTATGTTTTCACGAACGAAACACATTTTTTCTTTTTTGATTTTATATACGTATTTGTCCTCAATAAGTAACATTATTATGATATTCGAACACTCTTGTCCTTTTTTGGAGACGCACGTTGTATTTGAAATAAGAATAATTGAATTTTCCATTTCCAGATACAGAGCTGAGAATGCGGCGTTTGAACTGGTCCAGGAATCTCAAAGAGATTTCATCGCCTTATTCCCTGCTCTTTCACAAAGCCTAAATAATGAAGAACATCCGTAGAATTCGCGTATAAGTTTTATTTTGAACTAAAATATAAAGGAATGCCTTAATAAATGAGAGGTTGGAGAGTCGTTCTTCATTCCAACTTTTGTTCACAAGTTCAAACGAAGACTTATGATGGATAGAAGGTAATGGTCTCTGAGTTTCTTGTCTAGCAACTTGGAAGCCATAGTCGATTTTTAATAAAATTTGAAGATTATGTGAAAAATGGTACAGAATTTTTACCTTGTGAATTCATTTAATGAGAAAGTAAACTTTCTTAAGAAATTTCTCTTTAAAACTTGTTAATTGTTGAGAAAACATTTGATTTTTCAATTCCTGTTGTAGTATTGGGGAGCAGGAAGAATTTTAGAAGATCATTCGCGTCAAACACTTGGAGATTGAAAGTCGTTTTAACTTCAAAGTACAAGTATATGGGGTTGATCTTGTGGAGCGTTGAGACATTACTGCGACAAGGAAAACTAATAAACGGATAAATAGAGTAGTTTCTCATACTTTATAACTTACATGTTGTGAAATGTTATTTATTAAAATATATTCACCAGTTATTAATTGAACGAGGTAAATAAAAATAACGTTTATTTCGTTACATTTTCATAATGAAGATTTTAGAATTAATAATAATAATAATAATAACAATAATAATAATAATAATAATAATAATAATAATAATAATAATAATAATAATAATATGCCTTCATTAATATGGCGAGGCTTTATTAATATGGCGAGATTTAACCTAAAACACGCATTATGGTCTCAAACTTGTACAAAAATGTAAATAGAATGTGTATAGAATATATGCACGAGTATATGTGTGTAGTTTATATGTATATTTGTGAGTACAATACTCTTTTCTGTACAATATGTACAGTATTAAATGCGATTCTAGAAAGAAACAAGAAATGCGTTCTCAAACTAAATAAAACCTGCAAGTAAAAAGTGCACTTGCTCACACAAATTAGAGAAATAATGGCTAAGGGACAAATCTAGAATATACAAGCATATATACATATACACACATATATGTATATATGTACACATGTATATGAATATATACATATACATATTACATATATAATAATAATACAAGCATTTGAACTGAGTTCAGAAATAAACATAATTGAATCCGTATGTTTACCGAACATAAATTTCGTAGTTATTGATTGCTATGAGATTAAAGAATATGAAAAGATTAATTACAAGAGAAACTCAATTACATTTTTGTTTTCATTACTTTGTAAAGCACGTTGCAACCATTATTTTGTAGACGAAGATTATGTCCACTTTTAGTACTGGCTTTAGAAGTGGTTTCATACTCAAATGAACTGAGAAGAAATAACCACCATACAGTCCAAGAATAACTTCAGTTTATAATGGAAACGTTATTGCGACATTATTGAAAAACTACTAGTATTTAGAACGAAAGTTAAACCGAGAACATTTCATTCTTTCTAACATTTCAAAAATATTCATTAGTGTAGTGCAAAATAGGGTGTAATATAATGGAATAAGGATTATGGAGCTCAAGAAAACACGCGCAGATAATACTTATCTCCGATGTAAAATACATTTTATTGTATTTTTTAAAATAAATATATCAATGCCAATATTTGATACTTTGAATCACAGCTAAATTATTAGCACCTAAAATATTTGTTTCAGAAGTTTATATGAGTATAATTTAAGATCGATAGTTAATAGAACAACACTTTAAAATTGTTGATATGAACATATAATATTCACTAAAAATACAAAAAAATATACTACTAAATAAAACCGCTCAAGTAAAAAATAACAAAAACACCTTACAACTGCGAATACGAATGAGTACTACTATGTTAACGCCTGAAATATCTATATTTTACCCGAATATCCATCATAAACATTGCTTTTGATAGTTATTCGTATACAGGAACTTTGTTTCAAAAATATTAATGTCATTCTCAAAGTGGTAATTTTTAAACAATTACGAAACTGTTTCGAAATTACACGTAGAATGTAAGACACAAAAAAACTATGCATTGACGTGTCAGAGTCAGAATTTGCTCATGCGATTACTTCATGTTCTCGCCAATTGACACTGCACTCTCCGGTAATAAGCATATGACTTTGCAGTCACGTACTCACCTGCTGCTGCCGCTGGCGCGCGCTGGCTAAGACTCACTGGCACCGCCGCGTGACGACCGCAGCGTTTGAGGTTGCAGTGACGATAGCAGCAGAAGGAGGAGGAGGAAAAGGTAGTGGTGGAAGTTGCCGTGAAGGCTGCGACCCTGATGTTGACGGATGCGGCAAAGCCCGAATATCGGCACTGGTGCATACTAGTACAAATGGAAATGGTAATAATGTCTTACCGATGAACAAATGAAGTAAATAATGGGAGCGTTCACGCACTATTTTGCTGTGGCAGGTAACAAAAATGTAATGAAAACAATTGAAAGTTTTACAGATAAAATTGAACGTGTTTAAACATTTACAACAGTGATATCTATTATAATAGCTTGATAATTATCAAATAGCTTCATATATTATCGTGAAAAGTTACAACATCGGTTATGTCACGTTCCAGCTGGTCAGAAAATCTTGCATTTTTGCTGAAAACAAACGTATTCTAAACTACTCCAAATCTTGCCAAAAGTGAAAATGTGTCTTTTGTTTCTGAAGACTATTATTTAACGAACAAAGTGATGTAGCAATATTTTGTTGGAAAATGAATCAATTCCAAAAATAACTATATACCAGACAGGAATGACCAAAGATGAAAAAGGAATATGAACCGAAGGAAAACAAAGTAAGTGACAGAAAATTATTACACAGTAAATTAGAATTAGGAGTTTATAAACTAACATCGTCAGGAGACAAAACGCAATCGAAAAATACCAAATCGAAACCTAAAGAACTTTGCGAAATGCGGGAATTCATTATAACAAAGAACCTCCTTTTCCTCCTTCTGTAAATCTTAAGTGTACGAGTATCTGCCAAAAGAACGTTTTACAAAAACAATGTTTTCACATCTTCGGATTTTGGTGTTAACACTTCAACTGTAGAAATGGATGCATGTAGTGGGAATGACAATGATGAAGGCTGTGTTGTTGACGGTACATAAAGGAAGCCATGGCTACGGCTGCGGTGGTAATAACGCTGGAGATGACAGAGCAGGTTATGGTAAAGGAGGCGATGGTAGTGATTGTGCTAGTTTGTAGTAATATTCTATTAGAGTTGTATTCACAGAGAGATAGAATATACGATCCGTAATATAAGTAAAAAAATATTTCGTTTGAAAGTAGTTAATGTTTTTTATGTTTGGCATAAGTTACGAATTGTGCAATAAGTAAATGTAGAGCACCAAAAATTAAAACGTAAACTTGGATTGCGGGTGACCTATCTTTTTGTAATTGTCATTTTCTAAAAAGACTTTATTATTTTTCTGAATCCGGTGCGGAAACTGCGGTGTGGAAAATGGGGATAACGATGATAGTGGCGGAGGGGGAGTCAAGTTGAGAGATAATACGGCGAGGCGACGGTGGTGTCTCCGGTAGTGGCTGCGGATTCTGGAGCTAAACTCGCTATCAGGGCGGAAGCAATAATGTCGGCGACAACAATGTCGACGAAGGTGATAGAAACCTAAGGTGATATGGGTGATACTGGTGGCGACGTTAGCAACCATGGCAATTAAGGTCACGATATGGGTGGCGCCCGTGGCACAGCTGGACGAAGCTCCCAGAAACGGGGTTGGTGACAGGGTTGTTGGAAGATGTGGAGACACCACTGAGAGCCTAAAGAATGCCAAAGCATTCTTAACAAACGGGCCACAGACCGGGCGCGATTTTTCATTCCTCTTCCTTGTACTATCCTTCCCCCTTACTTCCACCCACTCTTACATGCATTACATTACCCACATGCCGGGAGGCTACTCGAGGGCTCAGAGCTGGGTCGGTGCGCCACTTGCAGCAGGCACCTGGTTGAGGAAAGCTTCGCTAGCATAAATGCAGAAACTCACCATTCAGCGAAGGAAGATGACTGCCACCTCCCCAGGAAAAACATGCACTACACTTACGGGAACGATACCTCAATATTTGGCGAGCCTGGCATCACAAATTAATCAATCAAAAACCAGTGAGAAGTCATTGCGGTGGTGGATGGCAGTTAGTCCCTAGAGGGCAAATTTGAAGCTATAGCAGTAAAGCAACGTTTGTAGGTTAGAGTTACTACTGCATGGGGGTGGGGCCGACGGGAAGCGACGGAGTGGCGTAGAGCAATAGGGCTGCAGAGTGAGGTGGTGGCGAGAAGAGACCGGGCAACGAAGAGCGCGCGGAGGGGAGTGAAGGGACGGTGGAGTATGAAAAAGCGGCGGAGAGTGAAGGGGTGGCGGGGAGGGAAAGCGCTTCGGGGAGTGAAGGGTCATCGGGGAGTAGGTGGGGAGTGGAGAGTCAGTCAAAAAAATCTGTTTCAAGTATTGAAATTGAAGGATGTCCTCCGCAACCCTTCACACGATTGAAAGAATTCCCAAATTTAGAGAATCCATGAAAAATGTCTTGCGTATTTTTATATATCTCCTCTTTTTGTTTAATGATTAAAACAATAAAAAAAAAATTGAAATATTTTTTTAAGAAAGAAATATTGAAAATGATTTTGCGGCTTCATAGAAAAGTGTCCCAAAAACAATAAAATACTGGGTTTTGATATTTAAGCATCCACGACATCCGTTCATTCTATTGAGAATATTTCTTTTAGTGAAAACGCTTGTTAGGGTTCAGTGCGCTACCAGTTGTTTTTGACATACAAACGGACAGTCAGACAGAGACGGGGCAGACAGACGTAATGCCGTAAACAATTTTCGGTTTCAACTACCATCAAACGTGAGTTTCTGACTACACATGTTAGAGAAAGCAAAGTTACAAACAATGCCTAAAAAGTTTGTGGTTGTTCCCTGCAGGCATTTACTTAACTAATGGGAAAGTTAAAACAGGCGCACGTAAGTTAAGTATATGTAATGTTAAGTTACAACAAAAATGGAAAATTGAATAAGAGAAAAATTCACTTTAATAGGGCAATGACTACAACATTGTCACAAAATCAATGAATTGCATAGAGAGAATAATTCCAAGCCGTAAAACAGACTTCTGAGGATAGGGTCCTTGATAACCGGCAGTGATCATG